CCATCCTCGATAGGGACACCTCACGACCCATAAAATCTGCACAGGACCAAATATTCACCTGTTTGACTATATTTATAGTTTGAGTCGCTAACGATTTCAGTCAGAATACCCCTTAACTTATCTGTCAGTAGGTTATTTTAGCGAGCCATCTTTTGGGGAAAATCGTTTGTTGTCAAGCTTAGACAGTGATTGACTCCATAAATAATATCCATATTATAATTAATAATAATACCTGCGCTATCTACAAGTACCTCTCACTGCATTCCAAATCGGACATGATACGTATGCTGATGGTTCTAATCAAAGTGCTCTGTGAGCAAACTCGTGAATTGACACATGATTTTCTTGGATTATGTTTAATGTTATCTGGTTTAGGGTATTTTGTGGTTGATTGTCATATCTGGAGTACGAGCAGTAGTTCAGTGTTCGCTAATGTAGCAAAGAAACAAAGTAACGTTGGGATAAGAAGGCATTACAATTGAAATGATCATGCTGTTGCATTTGACAAGGGTGGATGATGTCATGTGTTTTAAAAATATATCATTTTTGTTTCTGGTTCAATAGAAAAGGTTGGAAGTAAATGTAGGTGAAAAGTGAAATTTACTGTCTATCATTGTAAATATTGGAAAATCAAGGCAATACTGTCTTAATGAAAACGTTAACGATTCCCTCTTTATCAAATGAGACAAACGGGAACGAGTTCTGAGTGATATAACTAAGCCAAGACTGCCACCGTCATTTTGGATCTCCGCCCGGGTAGCTTTTAGTCACGTGCTAGGCAACGTACTGAATCAATAACAAGATAGAATTTCATTTCAGGCCTATTTATCAATTTTGTGGTGTATAACTTTCGCATTTTAGTACGTAATATGTATTTTAAATCTTCAAATTGTCTTGAAACTTAAAAGAAAATTGTTCTTTCAAAATTCACTGAAAATCGGTATTTGATTTTCGTGTTAACATGTAATTTCGTTAGTCGCCGGCATCTTCTGTTGCTTGACACAGGAAAAACACACGATACGAAGAGTAATGATCGATTTTGTCCTCAATCTCACGCCGTAGCAGAAAAAGCTTTTGAACATCTGTAAACTCCGAGCGCTTCGCAGTAAAGGATATTTTCAATGAATCTTCGGATTGTATTCAAGTTCAAGGATTGTAAATTACAATTTTATGAAAAACGAAGGTTGTTCTGTTATTTCAATGTGAATCCTTGCATGCCTGCCAGTCGCTGGCGCCTCTTGTTGAAACTAAAACGAAAAAAAAAAAAACTCTTTTAAGATTATCATTGGCTTCTTTGTCACCCCACCACTATTCTTAGCAACAAAGGTCACCATTTCGTTTGTTTTTTGCTCGCCAAGAACTATCAAATGCACTCAAAAGCCTAAAATCGAAAAAAAGTTTACAGGAATCGACCAATCGAGCGAGCGAGCGAGCGAGCGAATGCCATTCCCCACATCGTATCTACAACTCGCTCTTGCGCATGCGCACAATTCACGAGTTAAAAATTGATCACAGTGATAGTAAAGCGAATGTCTTACATAACCAATGGACCAAATTACTAAACAGGACTTTCTGGCAATTCAAAGAGACTGCAAAGATGGGAAATGATTCTTGGAGGGATTGACCAGATATTGAGAGCCGTATAGCAATGAAGAACGCAATGGTAGGGGTTTATTACTCTTCGAGATGGCCTGCTGTAACGATTTACTTTTTAAAACACAAATGGTCCTTCGCAATATGTATCAATAAATATGACATGGCACCATCGAAACATTCAGCACCGCAAATAGACGGATTATATTATGGTGAAAAAGTGCTACGGTCCTGCTGCTGGCTGGCCGGTGAAAAAGAGGAACTGAATGATTTTTTAAATGACCAGACCGGTCTCCACACACACACACACACACAAGGTACAGCCTCTTCTCCTCTCTATTTCAATATTTGATTCGTCATACAGTCATGGGAGAGGGAAAGGCTCTTTGCAATAACGAGAAAATATTATTTTTCTCATCCCGAACGTGGGATACAGAAAAAAAAGCCGAGTCACCACGAGGAATCGAACCTCAGAGCTCCAATGCTCTGTCGATCTCTGAGCTAAACACTATGGTAATGTGCTCCACTAAGTATTAACATGATAACGCTTCGTGCATGCTGCTTTGGATCAGAAATGTTGAATGCTTCTTGGGAGTATATAGAAAAAAGAAAAAGAAAAGGTTTTAAATTTGTATCCTGTAAGATGTTTGTAAATAAAACTATCAGAATTTATTCCTTCCTCCTTTTATTTCTGAAGATTTTGATTTTTATCGCACCTTGAATTTTTAAAATTACTTTGTTATCTGTTTAATATTGTCATTATTGTTACTTTATTCCATCCTCTTGACCCTATTTCCCCATTGAATTGTAGGTAAAATAACAAGCAAAGTTGTTACTAAAGATAAAAAGTGGAGATTATTTTCATACCTTGCGAATGCAATCTATAAGTCTTGTCTGTCATATCCAAATTTTAGGATATTTGCTGTCATGATGATTTTTACATAACATTTTAACAACTTAGACACAACGCACGCGCCTTGACTGGCCAAAAAACTATCGTTTATTGTGCCGCCGACCCATAGAAAACTGAAACATCTCTGTCCAGAGATAGCGGCCAGATGTCTAGAATTTCCAAATTTTAATTCATTGAAAACCTTTGGTTTGAGAGGACGCCTTTGAACACCGAAAACAACGAGAAAGACATTATTTTTGTAATGTTTACCAAATTTTCCATTCAACATATAGTTTAACTAACCGAATGTATAGTTTTTTCGCTGCGCGGTAAAAGTGAAAGAACTTCAGACATAACCGACTGCATTTTCCCAATTTTCTCGCCGAGAATGGAAAGATGCCATGTTTTTGCTTTCAGAAAAATTTCTAGCAACAACCTAGAAGAATTTTCATACAGAATTTTATCGAAGAATTTCTTTACAAGGGAATAATTTAGTTTGCTGTCCGCGATTGTTGATAGTTTTAACAAGGACTTGAAAGCCTTAACCCGGCAGAGGCAGTAGAAAACATTTCGTTTAAGAAAATATTGTGTTGTGAGTGAAAAAATTGCTCGATAGCGTTTAAGCAACTGAAAACAGGCAGTATTGTTGTCTTTCGATTCTGCTGTTTTTGTCGTAATGCGGTAATAATGTTATTTGAGAATTTAAAGTTACTTCCTGAAAATGTTAGTAAATAATATCTTTAAAAATGTTATAACTGACCTTTATTTCGCTGAAAGAGTACCGGAATACATCAAAACTGGTTCCAAAGTCCAATTCTGGCCACAAAGTTCGTGTTTTCTCTGTTCAGTTTGAAGAATTTTGTTGCACTTTATAGTTTGAGCCTTTATATCTTGTGTATCGTTATTTCTAGTCAATGTTTTTCGGATTTCTGCTCAGGTTCTCGGTGCCATTGAGTTCATTTGTTAAGAAAAATTTCAGTCTCTGCTCTCATGACCTACATTTCATTCAGTTTACTGTGCTTTGATTGGTCTATCGCACTTTTTGACAGGTTTACTGAGAATCAGCGTCTCGATCACAAAATAAGAATAAATTTATCGGTCTGGCTGACAAACAATACTTAATATATTTATGTCATACATCCAATAAACCTGGAAGATTACGAGAAAAACCGATAAAAAGTTTGATTTACTCCTAAATAAGAGACAAGCAGCGAGCATAGTTCAAAGAGTAAAGGTTTTTCAATGCACTCCCTCCCTTCGCGCTCTTCAACCTGATTCTGCAGTTAAAACTCGTGACCTTGCCGAAGACAAATATTCGACCCGGAAGTCTCCCGTGTAAGGAACGTTTTGTTTCGCTTCGCCTTTTTTCCCACGGTTTTCCGATGTACAAGTTTTTCTAGGTCCAAAATTATGGTCCTTACTGTCTTAAATCTGAGCTAAATCCCTTTTTCTTTTTCTTTTTTGGGCCAAATTATTTTGTATTTGGTCAGAGAAAAGATTCTTCGTCTTGACAGACGTTAGACTTTACTCTAGCGATATCAAGCCATCTCACAGTTTGGGTGTCTTATTAACTCCTGGTAAAAACCTAAAAGTTAGAGCGCTTAACGCAGAACATCATTGCCCACCACAAGGTTCCAGCCCAGAGGCCGGAATCCGAGGGGGCATCATAGGATTCCCCATGTTCTAGAAAAGTATCGTATGGGCAGTATGCGAAAGTTTCTCGATATGAAGAAACTAGGCGCACACGGTGGTCCCGGTAAACTCAGCAACTTTGCAACGTGATAAATTGGAAGCACGAGATTGACCACGAGTCGCATTCAGAAAACGGTTTCAAGATTTTGCTCGATTACATTCGAAGGTGAGTATTCTTATCACCTTGAGTATGTTTTATAATGAACAGTTTCAAAACCTAACCAGGGGAGAAAGGAAAAATTTTTATTTTCGGGGAAAATTAGTTTCGGTGCTGACAAAGGCCACACTTAAATTTTTTGTTTAAACGTTTTTCAATAGAAGTGAACTGCTTATTAACCAACTACCTTAAAATGTTTGGCCATCAAAATAGATAAGTATCATCCAACAGATACATTCATTCCCACACTTAAAGATGCTCCCTTTAGGTAAACTTCCGAACTTCGTCGTCGTCGTCAACTTAGATACGTTGTCAATGATTAGAAGCTGACGTTAGCCGATTGGTACCTGTGATCAACGCACCACTTGCAACGTCTTTTTCATAAGAACATACGCTAAAGTGCTACTTTCAGGAACACGAAATGACTATGAATATATTCATCAAATGTACAAGATCAATCATTTTGAGGATTTTGAAACTCAGTTACTTATACAAAAAAGCAAGCCAATAAAAGTCAGTCTTTTTAACGTCAAGCGGTGTAAACTGTACAATAAGTACAGGCTGATGCACATCGATGATCGATCTTTTCGCTCTCAAACCCTCTGAAAAACCTATCTCTCAATGAGAGTTAAGTGCCAACAGCAATGAACAACCGATCTGTGAAATTCAAAGAGCTAATGATCTTGAAGTCGAAGGTAACCCGGTGGGTCCCACCACTCTATTTTGTCTGGTTATAGGAACTGATCTAACCAAACGTCTACGAAACCTGCGGTGAAAGATGGTGTAGAGTACTGGATTGACAAAAAACGATATCCTGGCAAAAACGCTGCATGAACTTGTCGTCAAGGGGCTTATGTTGATCCCTGAGACAAGAAGGAAGGATACCACTACGTAAGGCGACCACGGGATTAGAAATGCGGCTATGATAGTTAAAAAGTACATGGCAGATTTACGGTGCCGTTTTAAGAGAGCATGAGTCGCAGTTACTGCTAGGCAACCCATCCGCGAAGTGTTGACAACGATATGCCTAGAAACTTTGTGGATCTTGTAATAGCAAAACGTTATCACAGTCAGTGGTAAAAAATAACGAGCAACGGTTACAGTTCCAAAATATGCCTGATCTGCTGGTAAATACGATCGCCATTGTACTGAGCATGTGGCATTTGTACCTTCCGGACCATATCTTGACCATCCAACCAAAGGCCCCAAGCTGAAGCCAAGTGAATACATCCAGGAAAACAAGATTATAAGCATCACCTTTTTTTTGTTGAAGTAAGAGTTTCTTGAAAGAGATCTGGTGATAGTCAGGTATTTTCCCGCGGAAATGGCGGCCAAATGGGCGATGGAGACCAGTGCCAGAAAAGATATCAAAAAAGCATGAGCGCGACATCCACGCACACCAAATGGCCATTCCTTCTGAAGGTGCTTGGCTATCGACAGTGGAAGAGCGATGGAGCATGAAAGAAAATCACTCACTGCGATACTAAGAATGAGATACGTCGGAGGAGATAAACGGTAGATGTTCTTGGAAATTGTATAAATTACTAATGTGTTAAACGTGATTCCTAACAAGCATACCGTGAACTCTACAGTCACAAAGATTATGTTCCACTTGCTTATTGTATCCATCCTCCTTCTCTCTTTTTGCAAAAACCTCGAGTTTCAAGGAAGAACCTTATCCTTTCCCCTTCCGTGATCTCTTAACAACATGGCAGTCTTAATGTTTCAATTATAACCGTTATTTATTCAGCTATGATAGATCTTCCCTTAAAGACTGCTCTCCCTTCGGCGATTATACTTAGCCGCTACCGGTGTCGTCGTTTGTTTTTGTGAAAAAAAAGAGCTGCTGTCGTGCTAAATTATCGGTGTTGAGGGTTTGATTAATTCAAAATCAGAGCGTGATACCCTTGAGGAATAGAAAAATATCTTTAGTCGAGTTTGATTGGAAATTTTATTACAATCAATATGAATAGGGCGAGATTTGATTCAATTTCTCTTTTCCATGGTTTTTTCCTAGAAAGGCAATGTTTCTGATATGCGCTTTAAATAGCTAAGCTTTTAGCTCTAAGCTCTTAAAAATAATTTAAACCCCTCAATTACTGCATTTAAGAGTCGGTTTAACTCATAGGAGATTTACGTAAATAGATCCATCTAGTTCGTCCATTTACAAAAAAAACCTTCTTCAGTCCCAAATGGCTAACATAAATACTCTGCTTCAGCGAAGACTCGAGGAAACCGAAGTGACAAAGAGTTAGGACTTGGTAGTCTATGCTGAAGGGATTGCAGATCTAATTAACAAATATCCGCGTGTGATAATGAATAACGTCTTCCTGTTTGACGACCAAATTTATCCTTTACCACCCTCATCATCTTTTTTCCCGCAGGCAGCTATTGACATTGCTCATCTTAGCTGTATGCGCAGTAGGCCTCTAAGAAATAAATTCCGCATTAACCCGTTTCTTCGTAGATCAGGGTAAAACAAATGATCAAGAAATCGGAAGGTAAGTTGTTGAAAGCTTCGGAAGGGGACGTGAGGTAGTTAGAAATTTGTTCTTTGTTCGGAGCTCATCAATGATTAATTTTTTTCTCTACTTTCTTACATTGTCAGCAATTCAAGTCAAATCACATCCGTTCTTTGTCGGAGACCTTTGCTCGCGCCTTTTTTACCCGGCCACTCTTTCTGTTTTGATCATTTGTTATTTCATTTCCGTTTGCTGAAGATTTTTTTATATTTTTTCAGTTGCAAGCCACAAAGAACCCCTAGTGTATTCCACCTTTTTTGCCGCTGTTCATGTTGCTTCTTTCTCGCTTTAAATTTTGGCATAACAACATGAAAAAACAATGCACTTCTTTCTCCGGTGTGTTTTTCTTTCTTATTATGGCCTTTATCTTTAATTTTACACTCCTCCATTGTCATCTAAAACAAAAATGGAGGAAAACTTGCGATGCAATATACAATTTTTTTGTGCGTTTTGTATGTTGTTGTTTTGTTGTCTTATATCAGGTTATTTGATGTCCTCTTATGATATCCTTTCTAAAGTTAACTTCAGCATGATAAAGATTGCGACAAATTCTTTCCCAAGAATTGTTATTCAATGTTTTCCCTTTGTACATACAAATCCTGGAGTCTTCCAGTTTATAATGAATAAGAGCTAATCGCGTGCTCGTGTAGCAATCCACTCGAACAGGATCGGTGGATGGCAGTGCCCTATATTCATTTTGTGTTCCTGAGGGTAAGGAAAGTACACCTCCTTAATCTATCGTTCTTATGTACGATCACTTCATTTTGAATTTACAGTACCTTCTTTTCATTATGTGTTCTTTTAATCTGATTTTTTCTGCACAAAGAGAAGGGAGATACGTTCTCAGGAAAATGTTAGTATCTTATGTTCATTTAAATACTTTTGAAATGCCACGCCATTAATTCCAAGAATTCTTCTCACTCTTAATTGGCTGGCTGAACCTGAAAACAGAACTTCATACCTGTCTACCATGACGTATCCGTCGATTATTTTGCTGAAGACATGTCTCTCCCAAAAACTGAGGAGAATGAGTCACCTTGAGGAAATAAGGCGCCTGAACCTTTGAGAGGAGCGACGAAAGCAGTCAAAAGGTACTTTATCAGAAGACGAGCATTCCAAGGGAAATGTTGCCTTTAACTCCTTACAAAAAATCTGAACCAATTACGACATCTTAGTCAGTAGGGATTTTAAGAAAACCACGACGGCAACGGCAACGGGAACGTAACTAAACAAAGAGTTTAATGAGCAGAAAAATGGCTGGGCACATGCGTTTTAAATCTTTGTAAATTTCTTTGCATCCTCTACAAAACAGCAACGTGAAATGCGTTTTCTGGAGAACTTGAACGACGGCTGCTAATATTTCAAATTCTATTTATAATTTAACGCTGTGTTCCATTTTAAATTTTCAGATAGTTTTGACAATGAGAAATAAACAAAATGACCTTAGAATATCTTGAGATTCGTTGGTAAAATAGAAGCCTATTTTTTAACCGACGTCGTTGACGGCGTCGCCGTCGTCGTTTGGTTCTTCAACATGTAGAAGTTGTGGTTGGCTCAAGCAGCCTCTCAACTCAAAGTTGGATTGTTTCAATACTTTGGTAGGATGGGAATTCCATATTTTCATTTCATCAAATTCATGTCAACGTGGCCAAGCAACTTTTTTTTTTATAGCATTTTACCAAATCCTTATCTTAGAACAAAGAAATGTCCAAAATTTCCATTTCAAAGCTGTTTATACTTCAACTCATGGCAGGTGATTTTTCCTCATCCGTGAAAACATTTAGCAGTCTCTTATCATATTGACAATTATTATCAGAGGAAGAAGAATGTTGTCAGTCAGATGGAAAGATGAAAAATTCGGATCAATATCAGTATCTGGGCAACTGCCCACCTACCCCTCCCCTAACCCAACATTAACCCTAACTTGTGATCAATTTGGGTTAAGGGAGGGGTAGGTGGGCAGTTGCCCAGATACTGATATTGATCCAAAAGTTCGACCAGGAGACCAAGTCAAAGTCGCTGACCACATAGAAGATACTGCAAAGATAAACATTTTGGAATTATTGAGTAACAGCAACAAAAATGGTTGCTATCTTAACTAAATACGAAGACTATTCTCCTCACTAACGGATGACCTCATTAATTCATCTCTGATCGTAAATAATTGTAATGAAAAAATGTATAATAGATTGGGTCGCAAAGAAACATTAACATCAGTTGTATTTCGGTAAAAAAAAACTGATTGAAGAGAGATGTCAAATTTCACGCATTTGAACGAATGTTACAGACTCATTAACGGGGAAAAAGGTGCATGCGTACTTCGAACGCCAGTAGTTTTTTTTGGTGGGAAAATAATAATATTTTAAACGGCCTATACATAACATGGATTCAGCCTCCAAAAATGGTCAAATAACTGCGAAATAACATCGGCCTTCGATTTCGGTAAATGTATGTTAACCGGCATGACTCGCCGTATATTTGATAGAAAGGAGCCGTTAGGATCATAGTCCGTCTGGCTCGGTTCTTGGTTAAAGCAACTGAACTATTCATTGGTCACTCTGTAAGAGATAAAATTATAGAAAAATAAAAAAATGCAATAGATTACAAAACCTAGATCGTAGTGACTGATTGAAGGTTTTCCGCAAACAAGACCAAACTTTGGTTAGTGTTTACACGAGGCATAATCAATTTATAACTCCTTATGCACTCAGTGACTATGCAAAAGGACGTAAACGCAACCAGGATTTAGCGATAAATTAATTTCGGTTTCTGGTGGAAGTTCTGAAACCCTTTGGAAAATGTTGATGTTGTTGTTGGGTTCAGTTGTTTAAAGGCGGCTAACGCTTTCCAACGAGTAAATCGCTATATTCAGCGGATAAGTGTTAACAAAATGTACTACGTTGTCCCCCGGATAGAGATTTATCCAGTGGATAGCGTTATCCAGCCTTTTAAACAACCGGGTTCAGATTAACAAGTTGAGTAAATTCACCATAAAACAAAACAAAAAAACAACCCATTCTTCCCTTCCATGTCCTGCTTTTTTATTATTATAATTATTTCCAGATTTTCCATCTGCTCCTCGACAATATTCTAGGAAAAAAAAGAGAAATACCTTAAGATTTGAGTATACAGCACTTTTATTTTTTTTCTCAGAGGGCACGGTAACGAATCCTGCAATCTGATTGGCTCTTAACGCGGTCCGGATCTTCCTATCTCTGCCCACGGGCACGGTAACGCTTTCGTAGTCACCGAGAACATCCCTAGCTCCGTCGCCATTTTTCGTCAATAAATTTTGTTTTTCCAGCAGGGCAATATATTTTAAGCAAATCAAGCTGATTAACAACTTGTTCTCATTCAAAAGTGTAAGTGCGCTTTTTTATTTTTCACGTGCTCTCTACTTGACAGGTGTCAGATTGTGACAGATACTTGTAAGCACATGTTTAAATAACCTCTATCATTACACAGAAAAAAAAAGAATTTCGGTTAAGCATTAATTTGCATTACCTCTGTTTTAACTACCATCAGTTCAGTTTATGGAGGATCTTGTCGTAATCACATTCTGGTTCTTTTAACCTGCATTTCGTTTTAGAAAAAATAAAAATGTTATTCACCAGCCTAGGTCGGTCCGTATTGGAAAAAACTGTGACCTCTGTTTTGGTACTCAAATCCTCGGGAACAGTTTTTCCCAATACGGACCTCCCGGCCGACGAATAACATAAAAATCTTGTTGCGATCAATTTTACATCAGATTTTAATATATGCAAAAAGAAACAAAGATTTGGTCGGAGCCCCAATAATCCCGCATCTAACATTGAGAGTTTTGTTGAATAAAGGGAGGAAGACAATTTTCGTTAAAGGCTGAATTTAAAGTTATCAGTCGACCTAAGGAGGCTCCATACGGTTTTTGCTCAATGTTGGCGCGCGCGCAGCGTAATGTTTTTCGAGAAAATTTTTATTTCTTCGCTTTTCTAGGTCACTAAAATCATCAAAAGGCGATGAGTAAGGTTCGGAATTTCGTTTGCAGTAGGAAATATTATCAAAATGATTTTCGTTATTAAGCTAAGGCTCCACGAAGGGAGGCGCTCGCCAGTGATAACTTGGCTTTGCTTTTGATTTTGTAGCTCAGTAAATACTACATATTTACGCCAAACTTGAATGCACGTTTAATAACTCTCGTATAAACAAAAGTAAAGATGAAAGATGTGTAAATAAGTAAACGTGTAAACGTGTAGTATTTAGGTACATTTTATTCGAAATTTGTAATGTAACCAAGTCCGGTGGCAAAAACTCTCATACAAAAGTACCACGGCGCTAGCAAAAACCAACGAAACGACTGCCCTTGTTGAGGTCAACTAGCAAAAGAAAACTATCTAGCAAAAACGACGCTTAAACTACCTACCGGCGTTACGTAACTCTTACGTAACCTCACGCCAAAACGCGATAGAACTTCGCCAAGATCTGCATCTGAACATACGTAAACTTTCGAATCTTGCCACAGGAGTCCGTAGGTAATCTGAGCTCACGTAAGCGGGCCATAATTTAAATGCAATTATGTAAGTACATCAGTAACAATAAATGAAGTTCTACCATCCGTAACCAATCAAGAACGCTGACAACAAAACCTTTCGTATCCAGAGCAAAAAGTACTTTGTTAATAAAACATTTACTCGATCATCCTCTTGTTCTTTGCAGAAGTTTGGCGTAGGCGTAATATCAAGCTCAGATGAGCCAATAAGCCACAGAGCTATAAAAAAAACCTTATAAGATGGTTTCCTTCTAATATTTCCTTTCCTAAAAGAGCTGATTTCCAGAATTTTTCATCTCCTGCTCGATAATGTCCTGGAGAATAAAGTTACAAAAATTTAAAAACTCTAAAAATAAAATAAATGCCAACAAAAGAAGTCAAAAAAATTTAATGAGCGGTCAAGACACCAACGCATTGGTAAAAATTCTTTCTGCTGCCTCAAAAATAACGTGGTTCAATAAAAACTGTCACTACGGCTATCACCGAGGATTTGTCCCGCGCTGTATAATACGCTCTACACTCTAACTTTTTAATTCAATGCTGTACTGCAGTTTTCATGGCTGGCGATAAAAATCGATGCAAAACTGTGTTCTTCTGTCCGAAATATTATACGCGAAGATTATTTATCTCAGTCAAATGAATGATTTCCATCAATCTTCGACGTCGAACTTCGAGGAGACACATTACGCTTTTAACAGAACTGTCGTTATCCGCGGTAATAACGTTAAAATTTCCTTTTTACTTGGCTCCAGAGTAATTGCAAAAGACGCTGAGATTTCCTTTGATTAGCAAGCTGTCTTTCCCGTGCAAGACTGATCGCAAATATTATACCGATTTTTAAAACACATTTGTAATTTAAATTAGTTTCCCAACATTAACTGGTGAATAGGTAGGGTATATTTCGGCGGTAGAGAGGGCAGGCTCTTTTAACACGATGATGATCATTTTCGAGAGATAAGGGATTAAAATAACAAAAGAATATTGGTATCTTGGATATAAAGTAGCCCCCAATAATGGACCATCGACAAAAAAACACGGTTCGATACAAGCCTGAAACTTTTTGTCAAAAAAAAAAGATAAATAAAATAATAGCACTCTAATAATAATGATAACAAGGATGAAAACAAAAAACACTCATTTATCACAATCATAACGAAATAAAATATTGCAGCTTTTAGGAATTCTTGAATGGAAAAAAGCCTATCGTGAGCTTGACGAATGCACATGTAGTTGTAAGCTTGCTTTTCGGTTATATTTTGTTACAAAGAAAGCGAGTAAACAATTCATTCTGATCCAAATATCTAATAACTTCTTCTCATCTAGGCTCCGGTCGCAAACATAGCGGCATTGAATTTTTATAAATTCAAGAAAAATTAAGAAATGTCGCTTAAACACTTCAAATAAAGGATAAAATTTTATAACATGACGAACGGACCGCATTTTTGAAGGCATTTTAATTATCTTATGCATCAAAATTTGTTTCCAGTGGCTAATCGGTTTTAAATAACCGCTTTTTCGAAATCTGAGAGGTCCTGGGGAAAAAACTGCGTCCAGAATGGCAGCCAATATATAGATATAAGAGGTTGAGGGGAAGTTAAGAACATTTCTTATGCGTCGTGTGAAATATTTAAGACAATTTGAAAATGAGTTTTGACTTATGCAGTCCATGCTCTTGAAACAAGGAACCATCAACGGGTAAGGGCCGTCGTTAGGGGTCGGGGAGTGAGCGTAAAGTGAAAATTTTCAGTCGTGATTGAGGGATAACGACACAGAATCAGAGAAAAAAAATGATATGTAAATATGCAACCAAAAGGAAAATTGCGCTTTAAATGTCGCAAAATAGTATCTGGTAAGATTTTAAGCGAGGGCCGCTGACTTGTTTCATTGCACTGATATTTAGATCTGTTTCAAATTATATAGATAGACACAAATTTGTATTCCTTCCAGTCATTGGGATTTATTGTTATTCTATACTTTTATATCATTTATTTAGCTATTGATGCAGTGATGCAAAGCATGTTACATGCAACATACGGCAATAATATCAATGGACAAGTGGTCTACATGAATACAGACCGCTTGCATTTCCTTGTTGTTTT